TAATTTTTGGTATAGTAGTTGTGACTTATTCACACTATATACATTTGGCTTCCGCAACAAAACTCTCGTTATCCGCGGTGTCCAGGGAAGAGCCGGACCACAAGGCTTTATTGCTGTCACGTGTTAAAGTACACTAATACTATATATTTGACATTGTCTGTTTATAACTTAAATCCTTTCAAGCATTAAGCGATTAAGATTTTAGATGATCAAAACAACGTAGAATTAAAACGAACATCAACGTTTTAATATAAAGTAAGTGATTACCTCAAAGAAAGAGAGGCCATTGCCAAAGATGAAGTCCACAGAACCTTCAATGTAGCAATCTTTGTAATAATGTCTACCCAAATGATCATAGAGTGTATCTTGAGCTCCCAAAAATTTACACCCTACAAAAGCTGCTGTATCTGCTGATATTCTAAATGCTACTGCTTGTTTTCCTATTGCTCCTGCTGCTGGCACTGGTGTTGTATTCTGCATTTTAATTATTATCATAATTCTTTTTAGCTTTCACAAATTAGAGTGAAACCCAAGAATTTCCAATATACACAACATTGGATAAAAAGAAAAGGTAATAATATAGTCTTGCAGATTTTAAATACTACCTCTGTCCGGTTTATGCAACACACTTTTCTTTTTATTCTGTTCTACAAAGGATCAATATATATATTGCTTCATGTTAAGAAATAATTTAACTTTAAACTTAAATTTTACCTTTATTGACATGACTTTATTGCTATTGAAATGTCATGACATGTTTAGGAGTACATTTTTAAATTAGGTCGTTAACCCATTCTAACATGGTATCCAAGCAGAGGCCGCCACCAAAATAATAAACGAGTTTAAGTTCTATGTACTAAATGCATATATTAGTTACACAATCAGGTTATTTGTAAGGTCAGTTCATGTAAATTTTGAGTCGAGGGTTTATTGGAAACAACCTCTCTATCCTCACAAGGTAGGGATAAGGTCAGTGTACGCACTACCTTCCCCAGACCCCACGCTGTGGGATAATATTGGGTATGTTATTGTTGTTGTAGTTCATGTAAATTTTTAAGATAATCTTTGATTGGTAACTTGATAAAATAGTAACTAGCCTACTACCACATATTAAAATTCACTGATTCAACAAAAGGAATTAGACTCATACATATTGATACTTTTTTCTAAGCATGAAATAAATAAGGGATTTTTACAAAAATAGCCGATCATATTTACTGTTTATTTTTTCGAGTCATATATATTGATTATACACAATTATACATATATAATACATAAATTATGTATATATTATACGTTTAGTGGCTTTAGAGTAAGTGGTCGGCTATTTGGATGTTAGAGTGCACATGAGAAAGAGACAATGTTTAATTTGTTGGATTCCAACTTTTTCTTTTTCAAAAAAAAAAAAAAAAAAAAAAAAAAAAAAAAAAAAAAGGCCAAGCAAGTGAAAAGGCAAAAAAAGAATGTTTGTACCTTGAAAGTAATATTCTTGGCCTGGAAATAAGGGGAATTCACAGCAAAAGTTGCAGAACCAAAGGTGCCAAGAGGTTTTCCATTTGGTCCAGGAGTTTGTGCTGTATCTCCCCACTGAATTATTGTTTTATCTGCTCCTGCTCCTTCTATTGTTACAAATGATTTAAATGGAGGTATATTTACTTTCTCCCTACAAAATAATTCATAATTTCAGTTAAAAATTGAGATAAAATTTTAGAGTTGAAGACATAATCTTGAACAAATATAAATAAATGGCAACTCAGTGCACTAAGTTCCCATTATGCACAAGGTCTAAAGAAGGTTCGAATTAGATTGGGTCATATGTATACAGTCTAATCTTGCATTTCTGCAAAAGGCTATTTTTTGCAATTTGAACCCGTCACCTTTCTGATTATATGGTGTCCCTTTATGCGCAGGTCTAGAGAAGGATCGAATCACATTGGCTCATATGTATGCAGCCTAATCTTGCATTTCTGCAAATAGCTATTTTTGCAATTTGAATCTGTAACCATTCTGATTATACGGCAGCAACTTTTAAAATTACACTGAGAATCCCTTCAATCTTGAACAACTATATGGAACAAAATAAAAGATAATGTATGAACCACTTGACAATTTCATAGTCCTAATTGAAAAGAACATAACTCTTAACTACTCATATGTTTTTAACATTTTCTATCTGATCACAAGACTGTAAACGACAAAAGCAAAGGACAGAAAACAAAAAGGAAATTCTTTTCATCACAATTCCAAGAATTGACAATTGACTACAACTGCAAAACATTACAGCATGTGAAGGCTAAGAAAAGACAGATGAATGAACAAAAGAAAAGGAGAGTTACACACACATGATACTACACCAAGACAAACACTTTTTAAGGAGAAAAACTTAAATTCAATAAATTTATGAAATGGATGGTTAGTACACATGTCTTCATCAAATGATCAACTCAAAAAGCAAAATTTCAATAAAAATCACAAAATGTAGAATGTAGATGTTCAATGACGGAAGGGGAAATATTCAATTTTATAAATTAAAAAAACAGTAGTGTCAGCTTTCGTGTATCTCGATTCTCGACTACAACTATCCAGTAGAGTAGTTGAAGTACATGTAAACCGATCTTGAAAAAGTTCAATGACAATCACTCATCCAAAGAAAAGGGAAATATTCAATTTTATAAATTGAAAAAACAGGAGTGTCAGCTTTCCCGCATCTCGACTATAACTATTCACTAGAGCACTTGAAATATGCGTAAACTGACTTGAACACAGTTAAATGACAATCACTCATCCAAAGAAAGGGGTAATATTCAATTTTATAAATTGAAAAAAAGGAGTCAGTTTTCGTGCATCTCAACTACGAGTCCCTGTAGAATAAATGAGGTACGCGCAAACTGGCTGGAACACCATTATGATCGATAAAAATTAATGAGACTACTTACGTGTAAACTCCTGCATGGATCTTGATAACAACTCTGATAAGATTAACAAAAGGGAGAGAATCAATGGCATCTTGAATTGAAGTAAAATCTCCATGAGAAGGATTTTTATCAACAGTAAGAGTAAAAGAAGGGAAGATTTTATTTTTGGCTGTTTTGAAAAGGGAATGTTTTAGGCTTCCAACAAATTGAACCCATTTCATAAATTGTTGTTCTGATTGTTGAACTTGTGTCATATTCACTGTTAGTTGTTTTCCTTTGGCAATTCTCTTTGGTCTAAGCCCTTTGGTGTGGCAAAGAATTAGGCCAGAATTGATGAGAAGAATGAGAATAGTAAAGTGAAGAAATGGTCTAAAATTTGGCATTCTTATTTGAGTAGTAGTAATAGTACTATCAAATGAGAATAAAAAGGAGAAAAAACAAAAAGTGTCAAGAACTTATAAAGAGAGATGTTGAAATGCATTGCAAAGTTGGCTATATATACATAATTACATGTATGTCTCTGTGTGGTTTTGGGGTTGGGTTGGAAAGTTCAAGCGATATTAAGTAATGAGTCATCTCCTTCCTCTTCTTTGTTTTTTTAACGGTAGCGTTCGACTCAGCTTTCATGCATCTTGATTATCTTTTCAGATGTCGGTCATATTTTATTAATATAGCTATTGAGTAATTATGTCCACCAAAACTTAAATATATAAAAAAAGTTAATACAATATTTAACTAACTCGTCTCTTTCTCTCTTTTTTCCTTCTTTATCATACTAGTGTTAAGTTTAGCTTGCGTGCGTCGCGATTGATCTTTCACATATATGTTATTTTTACTAGTGTAGATATGGATTACTTTGTCCATAAAAATTTAGACAGTTGAAAAAAAATCATCTAAATTTTGTATCTCTACAAACCATGATTATCGAGTTACTTTATCCACTAGAATTTAAACAGATAAAAAAAATCACCAAATATTTGTTTATAATAGTGGTGTCCAGACCAGTTTATGCGCACCTCGACTAATTCTACAAAATACTTGCTATCTCCTACCAACATATGTACCGAATAACTCATCCACCACCATATTCTTGTTTCCGCTAGAAAAATCACCTAATATTTTCTGTTTCTACTAAAATTAGAACCGCAATTTTTTTTTTATTGACTATTAGGCCACACTCTAGTGTGCATTGTGCACGGAATAATGAGTCATCTTTTAGGTAGAAAGTGGTACAAATTGGAGAATCATGACATAGGATTGAGAGGTCACGGGTGCTTCCACTGAAATGAATGCAAGAAAAGTTGGCATTTGGGGGTGGG